TGTCCCTGCCCAGGGCAGAGCACCCACAATCCCCTCCCAAGGCACAGTTTGCAGCCTGTGCAAGACACAGCAATGACATTCCATGTGCTAATGGGGCACCCCGAGGTGGCCTGGGACAGGGAATGAAGGAACAGGCAGATGCTGGAACACACCACTCACCCAAACTGCACAATTGCTCAAGTAAATGGCTCCAACAAATTAAGTTTTCCACATTTCTCCCTGTTTTCCCCAGCCATGCAATTCTTAGGGTGGTACATCATCAACAGCCACTTCTCTCCAAATTACTCAACTCAAAGTGAAGCCTTCTGGTTAAACTGCATTTTGGAAGATGGGAAGCCATTCCCCCTTTCCTTCCCTCTCTCCCAGATCCTGGTAACTCACAAATTAATTAGGGCATCATTGGGGCTTTATGGTTATCTCTGTGTACAGAGTATTACATTCTCCTGCTGCTGGAGGCTCCTCCAACAGAACCCAAAAAGAGTTCCAAACCATCCACAGTTCCCATTTAAAATAAATCCCAGGCACACAGAAGGGATTAAACAGAGTTCCTGGAACATCCCACTTCTCCTGAGCTACAACTGCACAGCAAAAACTAGAAAACATGAAATAAGAGAAAAATATTCCATTTTAAAGGAAGAAAACAGTGTTTTGATACACCATGTGAGAGATCTGACAGAGAAATAATTTGCCAGATATAAATACCTCTACTTTGTGATATTTAAGTTCAAAATATACATGATTTTAGGTCTAAATAATTAAAGTAGCTACTCCTGACCCTGGCTGCCAGTGTGTGCATCCCACTGCAAACCAAGTCATTTAACATACAGTTTGGGGGTGTTTTATATTTTCTCACATATTTTGGAACATGCAACCAATCAAAAAGCAAGGATAATTAACTGGCCTTGCCATATCCAACTTCAGGATTTTTATCGTCCCTTAATTAAGAAAATAGCACAGCAAAAGGTAGGGGCAAAATAGGATGTCAAACAACTATAAAATCCCTTCTTTTTAGAACAGGAAAAACATTTAGATTCAGCAAGTTCTCCCTAGAAATATTGCTATAAAGTATTGATTTTTTACCAGACTCAATTGACTGAAAAGTTGTTTGTATAGCAATATTGGCCAAGCCAATATACTGGAACAATTTTGCTACACACAGTAATCAAGTGTATTTCTAAAGTATAATTATACTGTCATAAAAATAAAGCTAAGATACCTCTTCTCCAAGCAATAAACCAGTTGCAGCTGTAAAGAACCCAAATAAATGAAATCCATTTTCTAACTAAACATAACGTCTGGCGAGGAGAACAAACCCACCTCCCCTCTCTCCCCCCAGCCCCCCTCCTGGAGCCAGGGGTGGGATGAGAAGTGATCAATACCTCCATCTCAATAAAAACTATTTCAATAGTAAGTTAATTCACGTGGCAAAGGGAGGCTGAGAATTTTCCCTGCCTCGTTTGCCCAACGCCGGGAATATATCATTGCCATAATGGAGCTGGGTTGGGATAAAGAGCTGGGAAGGGAGGGAGCTGGAAGAGAGGGGATGGTGCAGACAGGCTCGTTCTTTAGCTACAGATCAATAACCCACACGGGCTCTTCTCTCCACCAGCACGAGGGGGGAAACGCAGCCAAACCTCTGCAATTAATTTTCCTTGACAAATGTTCATTGATTTACTGGAATAAAATATATGGGGGCTGCTGTGTATGACTGGTGCAATCCTGCTACCTGTAAGGATTCCACTCTGCAAGTCCTTATTGGCTCGGGTTGGTGCAGATGATCTTCCCTTCAGGAAGGGGGGATTGCTCCAAGGTGGAAGTTCTGCCACAGGGCTGGAGCCCCTCAGCTCTGGGAGAGGCTGGGAGAGCTGGGAATGTTCACCTGGAGAAGAGAAGGATCCAGGGAGAGCTGAGAGCCCCTTACAGGGCCTAAAGGAGCTCCAGGAGAGCTGGAGAGGGACTGGGGACAAGGGATGGAGGGACAGGACACAGGGAATGGCTTCCCACTGCCAGAGGGCAGGGAGAGATGGGAGATTGGGAGGGAATTGTTCTCTGGGAGGGTGGGCAGGCCCTGGCACAGGGTGCCCAGAGAAGCTGTGGCTGCCCCTGGATCCCTGGAAGTGTCCAAGGGCAGGCTGAACTGGGCTTGGAGCAACCTGGGCTGGTGGAAGGTGTCCCTGCCCATGGTAGGGGTGGGACTGGATGAGTTTTAAGGCCCTTTTCAACCCCAAACCACTCCAGGATTCTGGGATAGCGTGTAAAACATCCACACACACAAACAGTTCCCTGGAGCAGGGTGGAATGACACCTATACAGGAGGATAAGCTAGGAAGTCACTGCAAGTGTTGATTTAAAACATGAACGGGATAAAAAAGAAAAAGAAAGGCAGAAATAGTTCCCTGATCCAGAAGGGGCCTCAGGTCTTTTCTTTTTTACTTTCCCAGACTGCAGACAAATGCCAGTCACCCACTTAACAAAGGTGATCAAAGCACACTACCTTAAAAATACAAAATCACGTCAAAAAAGTGAAAAATGCGGTTTTATACCCCATTTTATCCAGATTCCTCGGATGAATTTTAAGAAATGTGAAATACACACTGTGCATGTGGCAACACTATGAAAGAATGAGATGTTTTTACACCATTTCTGCTCCCCAAAGCTGTGTCTCATCCTACACACCAACACTCCCAACAGACACGGAATGAGCTGCTCCTTCCAAGCTGACAGACAGGCAAGAAGTTCATCAGACTCTCAGTGCAAAAAGAGGAAGGAAGGGAAAGAAGAACACATTCCCTTACCTTGGTTTACATTCTTTAGACTCTTTAGGATGAAGACACTTTTGGTGGGACCATTCTTATACTGGTCATGGTTTCAAGTTGTTACTTCCTTATTTCAGCTGCTTCCCAAAGAAAATCACCCAGAACTGGACAAAGGGACATATGTGGGTTCCCCCTCTTGGTGGGTGGGATATTCCCTGTCCTAACTATTCCTCAAGTGTTTTCCACAAGGACCAGAGCACGTGGTCCTCCTTTGTGATGCTTCTCCCACCTGCACCCACTCCCAGAGCACAGGGAAGGGAAGGAACCTTCTCTAACTCAGAAAACACCAAGACTGAGCATTAAAGCTCAACATTCTCTCTCACATCTATCATAAAGTAAGAAAATAATACCAATTCCTCAAGTTTCTTGGTCTAGGAATATCTTTCTCCCAGACAACTCCCCATGAGGTTTCTGAACCACGTTCCACCCACGATTCTAACCTGATTTTCAGAGCCCACTCCAAGGCTGGATTTGTTCCTTTAAGCTTTTGGAAGTTCATTTCCATTAAACCTTCTGCAACGTCGGCAGCCAATTAGAAACTAAACTAAATGCACTGTAACTTTTAAAACATTTTAGGGGGGGGAAAAAAAATGTTCATCTGAAAGTTAAAATGTCTAAGGTATAAACAAAACCCTAATGGGATGCTGGGTTACTGTATATGGTAAATAGCTCTCTGGAGGAAACCTTTATTACTCCCTCAGGGCTTTCTTATAAAGTATGGATTTCTTAATTCCCAGTGGAATATTTTTCATACCCCACTGCAGACTATTAAGTACCAGATATTACATTATGTAGTTTAAACTTTGCACTATGCATGAGAAAGACTTTCCTGTCGAGAAAACTATATCTGTGTTATTATAATCTTTACAATATTCAAATTAATACTGGCTGCAGGGTATTAAAGCTCCACTACCGAAATTTGGGAGAGTTTATCATTTCATATATTCATCAGCCTGCATGTGAAGCTGCTCAGGAGGGAGGGAAGTCACTGCAACAGCAGAAAGGGGGGGGTGAGGAATTCTGAACTGGTGTCACCACATCCCACTGGTGTCATTCCCAGTAAGGGCGTGGTGAGCCAGCAGAAATAATGGCACTGGAAATCCTGGAGGCAATTCAGGACATTCCAAGTTCCACTCGTGAGCCATTAACTTGTTATCCAGAGGGGGATTCAAAGCTAAGCATTAAAAAGATAATAAAAATGCACCAGCCCTCCCAGCACCCAAGAGCAGACACCTTGTAAATATAGAAGAGGGTCCTTCCAAAGTTCAGATTAAGGATTTATTTCATCATCTTCCCTGCAGAGGAGCAGCAGCCCACCTGCACCTCGACATGAACACGAGAGGTAAAAATAAAAAAAAAAAGAGCTGTTAAATCTGGGGTTTTTTTAAAAGGTTTGAAGTGAAATCCCCACTCACTTGTAGACTGTGCCTCCATTGCCGTGACCGAGGATGTCTCGATACCGTATGTCTTGTTCATTCATCTCCACAAGAAAGAAAGAAAAACAAAAGAGATGTCATGCTGGGGATGGAAATGTCAAGGAAAAGCAACTCTAGGCCATAAACAACAAGCAGTCTGGGTCATTTCAAGTTCAGCTGCAAGAACGAGAAGATCAATACAACATTTGCTGTCCAATTTATAAAAGACGATACCAAGGGACAAAGTGATGGAAAGTTTAATGACAATTTGTTTGCCTGGGTCATTTCATTAAAGTTTGATAAAAGGTGTCAAAATGGAATGATATAATATAGCTCAAGAGGGTCAGGTCACAGCTACTGATAGGAAAAGGGTCTCCAGAACAGCACATAACCAAAGCCAAAGTTGGAGGTGAATGGAAACAACCCAACAGAAAACTGTCAGCTTGAAGTGTGGCTGGAAAAGTTTATGATTTATTCTGGAATCAGCATCAGTGATACTAATTGAGTGACAGCTCTGCCAGCAGGTTGTTTGGCAGAGCACCATTTACTCACCTTTTAACTAAATAAAAATACACATATTTGGGAAAAAAACCAAGTCTTGAATTGCAATAAAAACATTTTTTTCCTTGAAATACACAACTAATTATTTGCCTCAACCTTTCTGTTCCCTGGGACAACTCTCCAGACACGATGAGATCCTCAGAAATCCAACCAGGAGCCTGGTAACAAACACTGTAAATTGCAAAAGCTGGAATTTGGCACCTTTCTGACAGTGCTTTTGTAAAAATTTACTATATTGAAGGATCAATTCGAATGTAAAACTACACTTCAACCTTCCCCTGTATAAATTCAGCTCTACTGATTTTGCACCTATTAAAAAAACTCACTAAAGACATTCTTGCAGTGCATGTGTATACTTTGAGCATTTTAATCAGAATAAATTCTGGACAGAAAACATTTTCTATTCCAAAAAGATTCCCCCATTGCCTGATAATTCTCAGTAGTAAATGTTTGGACAAATCTTGCTTTTAAAAGATCTTTTCCTAGGAAACCAACTTGTTTGTTTACCATCTTACCCAACAAACTTGTTGTGTTACCATCACAAGGTGAAATGTCCTAGAGAGTCAATACTCAGCACGTCTTAAAAACAGAAAATGGAATATTTAATTGATTTAAAATAAGCTTTAAGGACAGAAATGATTAATCCAAAATTTGTGTCCTTTCCTTTCACTACCTGAGCAAAACACATTGTTTCTCACAGGAAAT